ACAATGAATCATGGAACACTACATCAAAAACTAATGATGTAATGTATGGGGATTAACATAACATAATAAAATTTAAAAATTTAAAAAAAAAAAGAAAATCTATTGGGGCACCTGGGTGGCTCAGTTGTTGGGCATCTGCCTTCGGCTCAGGTCGTGATCCCAGCGTCCTGGGATCGAGCCCCGCGTCGGGCTCTCTGCTCGGCGGGAAGCCTGCTTCTCCCTCTCCCACTGCCCTGCTTGTGTTCCTGCTCTTGCTATCTCTCTCTGTCAAATAAATAAATAAAATCTAAAAAAATAAAAATAAAAAAAATCTATTAGAAGAAAGCATATGTGCTTTCATACTTATTGTTATAAAAAATGGTGTTTAAGGGTAGAGTAATCTAAGTGAATTAATTAAAAAGCTTTTCTGTACCTAAAAATAGCCAGAACCACAAAACCAAAGAAGAAAATAATGGATCCAAGGTGAATGCCTAATGACCTCAGGTGCAAACACTTTTAAAAATAAAATTGGCCTCAGGGCGCCTGGGTGGCTCAGTCAGTTGAGCATCCAACTCTTGGTTTCAACTGGGGTCATGGTCTCAGGGTTGTGAGATCAAGCCCCATGTAGGGCTCCACACTTGGTGGGGAGTCTGCTTGGGATTTTCTCTCTCCCTCTTGCTCTACCCCCACTTGTGCTCTCTCTCTAAATAAAATCTTTAAATAAATAAATAAATAAAATCGGCCTTAAACACTTGGGAGTTTTCTAATTAGTCTTTGAATTTAAAAAGTCAACTTTAGGGTAAGTCATCCATAACAATACGTTTATCAAGAGATACCTATATCTCAATCAGAGGTGCACCTGTTCATAAGTGACAAAGTTGGAATTTGCCTCCAGGAACACTTACAGTCACCGGTGGCTAGGAAATCGGGACACATGGGGAAAAGTTCTGCCTTGTCCAGAAAGTCCTTATGAGGACCTGAACAAGTAACTAATCTGTTGGGTCTTAGTGTTTACACCTGTAAAATGGGGGGGAGCGGGGAGGGCAGACAGTCTGGCCCTAACGTTCTATGAATTCTACCTGATCTTCTTTGCTCAAAAAGCCCCAGCAATATTTGTTAAATGTAATTACACATAAACAAAGTTCACAGAATCTTGTGCTGAGGTTCAGAAATGAACACATTTCAGGGAAAGCGGTCCCTTGTTTTTTTTTCTGATGACGAAACCCCAGAAGCCATCATACCTTTAGGAATAGGCTGGCAATGCTTTGCTCCATGGTCCAATTTGAAGTCCAAATATAAGGTTGGTGTGCGAGTATAAATCTTAGACTGAAAAGGAAAAGGAAACCATCAGCATCTTTCCAAAAATAAAGTTCTTCCTCACTTCAGCTGTGCCCTTCTCTGATGGGCCTGGGGCCCTGATGATTATATTAACAATTTCTCCTTGGCAAGTGCTGTTAAAGCAAGGGGATGGGCTACCATACAGCCTCCTCTTAAGGATCTTGGTCTAAAAGTTAGTCCTCCTAGCTTTACAATATGGTTGACAGACTTTCAGGATGACAGCTCTCTCCCTAGAATCATTTCTCAAATACGGTCTGAGGTTAATAGTTTATTGGCCTAGAGTTGCTCCAGCTTTCTCATTTCCAATCTTGTACTTGATATAGTAGGTTATCTCATGCCCAAAATGCATGCTTCTTCCCCAGGTCTCAATAAAGCCATGTCCATTTAAAAAAAATTTTAAAGTGGCCAGTAAATATTTTTATTTGTTCTAACTTGACCCTTTTGCAAAAAAAAGGTCGTTCACCACCACTGGCTTGAAAAAGCCGCAATTCCAGATGTGAGAAAGGCAAACTTCTACAGGATTTTCCACTGTAAACAGTGGCTTTGATTCCATCAACGGTTAAGCAGAGTTTGTAATCCACTATGACACCATTTTGAATCATTGGCACAGACCAAAATCCAAGGGATTATCACTGTTGCTATGAATTATATGATGTCTCATTGTTTATCAGAAAGCCCCAGTGGTTCTGTTTGACTTTTTAAAAACTGAAAATACACACAAAAATGAAAAAGCACACAACATCAAATTTGGCAAGGATGTAGAGTAACTGGAACTTTCATACACTGCTGGTGGGACTAGAACTTGGTATAAACACTGCAAAAAACTGCTTGGCAGTATGCAGTAGAGATGAATAGATGCATAACCTATGACCCAGCATTCCATACATAGGTGGATCCCCAACAGAAATGTTCACCTAAAGTCAAGTACGTGAATCTTGATAGTGATACTATCAGTAACAGCCAAAAACCGGAACTATGGCAGCTATCTTTAACCACAGAAGGGATAAGTGAGTTGTAATTTACTTATTCAACGAAATCTACTATACAGCAAGAAGAATGGATGAACCCAACTATATACAACAACTCAGATGAATCTCACAATCATAATACTGAGCAAATGAAGGCAGGCACAGAAGACCATATACCGTATGATTCCATTTCTATGAAGTTCAAAATAAGGCAAAACTAACCTATGATGCCAGAAGTCAGAAAAGTGGTTACCCTGGGAAGCTCAGTAGCTGAAAGGGGTTAAAAAGGAGATGTCTGAGGCCAAACAGTATCTGTCCCTTGACCTGGCTTTGGTTTCATAGGTGTGTTCACTGGGTGAAAATTCTTCTGAGCATATATACTTGATTTATGGACTTTTCTGTGTCTATATTCTATTTTAATAAAAAGCTTACATTCATTAAAAACATGCACGTGTAAATAGACCAAAAGAGAATCCAGAGCCTAGAATTATTTACTATCCTTGACAAAGGCATCATTTTGCAGAGAGTACTTCTATAAACACTATGAGGACATGAACATTGCTGCCTTTTCACCCAGGGCCAACCCACAGTGCCTGTCACGTGGTAGGTATTCAATAAATATTTATCAACTGATTGATTTTCATAATGGAAAAATCCCATGCATAGTAATACATTTATTTACAGTATACATAGGGCATTACTCATCAGTATCTTTACCTACATGCAGCAAAAGGGCTCTCGTCAGGACAGGTGATTTGATATGGTCAAAGTGTATGTCTGTACATTAAATTTTGGAATAGAGAATTGTAAATAATGTTATCAGAAGGTTGTTCCCTTTCCTGTGAATATCTCATTTGTGAAGCTTTGGGTTTTAAAAGGTCTGGTAGGTGGTTTTATGTGGCTTAGAAGGCCAAGCTGCATCAATACAGCTTCAAAGATTGCAAAAGAAAATTCCCCTATGCATGCATAAGTGAAACCAGAAACACTTATGGCATTGAGTGCAACCTGAGGCCAAACATTCACAATCAATCTGAAGATGTTGAAACCTACATAAAGCCAGGGCAGCACCCATGGGACACAGGATCTAATTCTCTACGATCCTTAGGTGTGTATGGCACCATCTGGAAAGGATCTGTTTTTTTCTGAAGAAGTCTTCTAAAATTACTTCTAAAAAGATCAAGGGTAGAGGCGCCTGGCTGCCTCAGTCAGGGGAGCATGCGACTCTTGATCTCGGGGTCGTGAGTTCGAGCCCCATGTTGACGGTAAAGATTACTTTAAAAATAAATAAAATAAAAAGATCCAGGGTCAACTTCACGTAATATCATTGACTCCTCTGCCTGGGCAATATTTGGTTCTCCTCCACAAAAAGAATCCATTTCACTTAACTGTCTTTCCTAACTTCTGCCTCAGTAGCAGATGCAGTATCTCTGCCTACAGCGAAGGGATTCATCACAAAGAAGCCCTTGGTTTAATTTTTACTCGAATTCTCCCAGAATGTAGCATAAAAATACTCCTGAGCTAGAAACCTGGAGGCTTGAAAAGCTTTTCCCGCTGACTAACAAAGCACGAATCTTCTACTGGGCTTAGTTCACTATTCTGAAAATCTTGTGATAGGACTCACTGATGTTCAAACCCATGTACGGTTCTAAACTTCTGAGTCAGAAAATTAACGTTTACCTCCAAGTTCTAATTTTGAAAGTTCCCTTCTGATTTCTGAGACTAGAGCTGTCAAGAAGGGAGAATGCGTCTGGGGCAAGGGAGGGCAACTGGAACAGGAGGGAGTGAGGAGGGAGTAAGTGGGGAGCCACTGGTTAACTTGCTCTACCCTTGCCCTCCACCGTAGTCATCAATCAGTCTTGCCCTCCCGGCTAGCTCTTCTTCTTGTCTTCCTGCCTCAAGCTTCTCAACCTCATCCATACTGTCCATAAAAGAGTAGCCTATCTCACTAAGACTGCCACTACACAGACCCACATGTGCACACATAAACACACACAGAATTCTGTATTTCTGTACTCATTTACAAAAATCTAAACAGAAACCAATGAGATACATTATAAAGCCACAAATATATCCCATCAACTTGCAGTGTGAAAAGGGCTAAAGGGAAATTTTTAACTCATTCTGGAAGTGTTTTTTACATCTATAGCCTAAAAGAGAATCCCAATTCTAATACCCTTTTTTTTTTTTAACTGAAAATGGGGGCATTGAAAGTTTTAATATAACTCACGTCTTGAATAATCAACTACCCCAAACCTACATGTATATTATTCTGTTTCAATTAATCCATAATGAGATAAAATCAATTTGGAAGCTGTTCCCATGAGTATGTGTAGGTGTATATATATACATGTTATATACACATAGTTTTTTTTTTTAAAGATTTTATTTATTT